CCCATTCGATCTCTTTGTGGTTAAAGTCGCCCATGATCAGGAGCTTTGCCCTGCATGCATGAGCTCTATTGCTCTCGTCATACTCATGCCCTGGTCTCCTGCTGTTCTGTGGTGGGTTATAAATCACTGCTATTACCACCTTGGGACCTCCAGAGTGAAGCGTTCCCGCTATACAATCACTTTCTTCTCGGCTGTCTCCTCTCTCCAGCTCATCAAAATTCCATCGGTTTTTGATCAGCAATGCCACTCCTCCACCCCCCCTGTTCCTTCTGTCTTTCCTCAGGATCTGGTATCCCGTTGGAAAGATGGCATCTGTTATCATACCTGTAAGCTTGGTTTCTGTGAGCGCTATGATGTCTGGTGATGCCTCTTTGACTCTATCGTGCCACTCCTCCCACTTGTTTATTCCATCAGCGTTTGTGTACCATACCTTCAGTTTCCTTTCCAACACTGTGGTTTGGAGGGCCTGTGGGGGTGGGAGACCTGGTGGCATACTGTGGGATTCTATGGGTGGGGGTTGGGTGGAAGCTGTGGGTATGGATTGTATTGTGTGTTGAGATGGTGTGATATGTTGTGGGGTTCTGAGGATAGTTGTGTGTGTGTGCTTGCCCTTGCTGCTCTGTTCTGCTCTGACTGACCTCTGCTGTGTGTGTGTGTGTGTGTGTGTGTGTGTGTGTGTGTGTGTGTGGTCTTCTTTTGGGCTGTTTTTCTTTGATCTTCCTTCTTTTCATGTTTTTTTATTTTTCTTGTTTTTATTTTCGGTTTTGTTGATGTCGTCGCAGGATTCGAGATATTATCACATATAGCACAAATATCCAGACGGAGACAGAAACAAAAGGTGAATTGAGAGACGAGTTTTCCGGCATTTTACCTGTGGCCGTCTTCAGTGGGTTTATATCAATCAGTGTTTATTGTTTTATCATCATCATGCGTTATCATATTCTGTCATATTGCACATTAATGAGAAGACACAGTACATGCTTTATGATATTATTAAGAAGACTTTTGTCCACCAGAGGCTTTATTATCCCTAGTAGGCGAAACGTCTTCTCATTAAAATGACACACACATACAGCTTACATGCGTGTTCTTATCAAGCATTAAAAATTATTAACAAGTCAGAGTCTTCCCAATGAAACTCGCCCATACATTTGTTATGTCATGAAGGGAAGCGCTAAACCTATTGGGTTCATGCATCGTCTGGGAAATGAAAAGTACTGAAGTTTGAGCTGAGGAGAAAGGGAAGGCAGGTCCACACCTCAGCATCACCCCGTGAAGGTGCGAACTCTCTGTCTCTGTAGTCACGACATCCGGATCCCAGTCTCGAATCCATCTCCGATATGTTGCAGCATCTAGTCTGGCAAACTCCTTACCTCATCTAAATCCAAGATGTGATGCTCTGTAGTGCGAGGATTCTAATCCCTCACATCCTCCCAAATCCCTTTTCTTCCCGTCTGTGAACTCCCAAGACGGAAAAGCTGAGAGGAAGGTGTGCTAGGGATACTTACAAGCATCTCCCAGTGTCCGGATGGAAAAGGCGTCCGTAGCCGGTTAAAAGAGAGAGAGAGAGAGAGAGAGAGAGAGAGAGAGAGAGAGAGAGAGAGAGAGAGAGAGAGAGAGAGAGAGAGAGAGAGAGAGAGAGAGAGAGAGAGAGGCAGAGAGAGAGAGAGAGAAAAGGGGAGAGAGAGAGAGAGAGAGAGAGAGAGAGAGAGAGAGAGAGAGAGAGAGGAGAGAGAGAGAGAGAGAGAGAGAGAGAGAGAGAGAGAGAGAAAGTGTGACGTAGTAGTATTAACAGCATCAACAGAATTGTAATTTGGAAAGTGCAGGCGAACAGACAAAAAAAATATTGACACTAGCTCTGGAACAAACAGTTTCCTTGTTTGACATTTTTACAAGAGTCATATTGCACCGTAACAATTTGCTATGGATGAAGAATGCAACACGGTTAAAAACCTTCCAGCTTTAAGCAACTAAACATTAGTTAAAAATTAAGATTAAAATTTAATAAAAAGTTAAATTTAAAAGTTTGTAACACAGAAACCAGGTTAAAAAAAATCCAAGAACGCGTCGTATATTGAAACATTTAATTTTCACCACGCAGAAAAGTGGGTGTATACAAAGACCTCGGACAACGAACTCACTCAAATCAAGATAAAGCTAAAACCTAAAATTAAATGCATGAAGTCAGGTTACAAACTAAAGAAAAAAATGCACCTCGACTGCCTCCCAGCATACATAAGGGATATCACCAATAGACCCCTGGATGTCTGTTGGACAGACACCTAAAGTCAGTACCTGACCAGCCGGGCTTTGGTTCATACGTCAGTTTACGTGCGGCCTGTAGTAACAGTCTGGTTGATCAGGCCCTGATCATTGCGAGGCCTGGTCACAGACCGGGCCACAGGGGCGTTGATCACTGAAACCCTCTCCAGGTCTCCAGGTCTCCAGGTATACTCACAAAATTCCATCAAACTCTGATTAACTGATCTGTGGTGGTACATTCCTAGCGTTTGAGTAAAAGACTGAATATCAGCTGGCAGAGAACTAACTATAACAGAGAAGGTCAAGACAACTGTGGGGGTTGTCAAGTATATTCCTTCTGTGATGAAACTAAAGGAATGTTAGGTATCGATAAAAGTACGCCTTGATTATGCGCCTTGATTGTTGTCTAAATATAAGGCGCTGCATGTCTCACAAGTATGCTTACGAAACACGGAAAACTCTTGATAATTTGAAACTAAATCTGTTACTTTAAGAAATTTGCTAATGGTCCTACGCTCTTAAGGGAGTTACTTATTGTCTCGTCCATTAGGGAGAACTGTGAGGCTGTGATCTTAACATGGCAAATCCGATATTAAATGTGAGTTGTCACAGGTACTGTTTGCAGATGACAAAAATGTTAGGAAATTAAGAATGGAAGACAAGAGTTAGTGGAGAAATGTATGAGGGTGTAAAAAAAGAAAGTAAAGAGTTTTCACAGAGAAGAGCAAGGTGCTGAGAGTATGAATTAGCGAGCGGAAGCCATGGTTAAGTTTACCTCTCGCTTCTGTTCATCTTACAACAGCAAACAGATAACTGGGTGTTAGCCGCCTGCTGTTGGTAACTTCCTGGGAGGTGGGAGTGCAAGTGAGGCTGGGCCTTTAAATGAGATGAGAGTGAATGACATCTTTTAGGCTATAAATGAAGACATGTCAATAAAAGACGTTTTGCATCTGAAATGAGAGACTGTAGATCAGACTGGATGGAACGAATGTTGAGGTGCTTGGGAGAGGATTGTTCAATAAAGTATGAGGAAAATCACCTAAAATATAAGGGAATTAAATTTGCAGGAGTGCTGGAGAACCGGTGAAAAAGAAAGAAGTGTGTAAATGGCTGCCAAACAATGTATCAAAGCACAAGATTGCTAATGGAAGCAATGCTACGACAAGAACGAGGCTGGACTCAGTAGAAATGTGCGGCGTGAATATCATGCATAGATTATATAAGGAAAACTTAGAAGATGGTGTGTTGGTGTGAAAGTGAGGTTGTTGAGGTGGTTTAGTGATGTAAACATGTTGAACCAAGATAGAGTGATTAAGAAAATGTATAACGCTCACGAGGAAGGAAGGAATAAGTAAGTAAGTAAGTTTATTCAGGTATACACAAATACAGTTACATAGGAGGTGTAGGCAATTTCCGAGGATGGGTTGTTAGGAGGGTGTGAAGGGTTTGACAGGTACGAGGTTGGACATTAAGGAGTTATTTGCCAGTGTGTTAGAGAGGAATTGAGTGGGGTCTTGGATTTAATGTATTCCCGATTGTAGGAATATCTAAAATCAATGCAGGTAATTCGGCTGGCGGAACGTTAGTTTAGGTGGGAATTATGATGCTAGTACAGTGAATGACGTAAATGATCTTGCGATGCCGAGGATCCTCACAGAATCATGGAAACACAACTAAGAAGCATGGGAATGTATATGTGTTTGCTCGCTTTGTCACTCTGCACAAGTGACAGTGATAATTATATAGAAATATGCCACACATAGGAGACTGAGTCTTAAGACGACGTTTCGGTCCGACTTAGACCATTAATCAGTCATTAACTAGTGACGTTTCGGTCCAAGTCGGACCGAAATATCGCCTTAACTTTCAGTTTCCTAAGTGTAGGTTATTTGTGTATCGTTCCGGTCACGGTATTGTGACCTTTTTTTTTTTTTTTTTTTTTTTTTTATTCTTCCTGAAGTGATAATTATTTTGTAAGATGCTTTTATCTTTCTTTGTTATAGACTTATCACTAATGTTTGTAATAAACAAATTAAACACTTTTAGGCACTAAACATATTTACTGCTGATTTGCTACATATACTAAATGATATAAACAGTATTAATTTATTCCTCTTTATGTCTTTTTTATTAACTGAGACATAAATATTTCAATTATCACTTTGTCATTTTCATCTTTCTGTTCAGTTTTTAGAATTATTATATTCTCTCTTTTCTCTCTCTCTCTCTCTCTCTCTCTCTCTCTCTCTCTCTCTCTCCCTCTGTCCTTCAATTTGGATGTGTAGGCACTGTACTCTCCACCTCCAGGACTCGAGTCCTGCTAACCGGTTTCACTGAACCCCATCCGTAAATATCATCCTGCTCACACTTCACGTGTATTTACTGCTACTACTAACGTATATTATCATGCTATTATATTACATGAAAAGCTAGGCAAGACTAGCATTTTTCTGATCATTTTCTATCGCCTTCTGTGTTTCTACTTTGATGACTGTGAAAACAACAAAAAATCCAACAGGATCCTCTCGTTTTTCTCTCTCCCTGGAAATGCGAGAAAGCTGAGGAGAACCATACTTTTCCTCTCCCTTTCTCTCTCCCTCTCCCTCTCTCAGTTCTCAGCAGATAACCTCGGTGAGGACTGCCAAGTCCTCTGCTATCTATCTTTCACCATTTACTCCCATGTTCTCCCTCCAGGTAGAGGCCCATTTCTCACGTGTCTCTCTCATCTTACCCACCAGGAAGCGAGGTCAAGTATGAACACCGTAGTGCTCAGGAATGTCTCCCTCGACACGGCGGGCAAATATAAGTGTGAAGTGGTGGCAGACTTCACCTTCGAAAAGGACTTTCAACTGAAGGACATGGAAGTAATAGGTAAGTGGGTAAAAAGCGTTTCCTTGGGGTTTGAGGTTCTGACCAGAGCTTTGGTAAGAGGGAAGGGGGGAAGAAGGATGGGTAAGGATGGAATTTGGGAAAGGTTGGGGAGGGAGGAGGGGTAGTTGGGGTTATAAAAGGGTAGTAGCCTATCCACTTTGGTGTAATTTGAATATGCGTGTGTGCATATTGAGTAATTTATAAAGAGGTTGGTTTTATGAGTAGGGTATACCTCCTGCCCATCAATTTCACAATGCTATATTGTTGTTATACCAGTGCATCATTGAATTGGAAGGATGCATACTGCGTACAATTGCTTGCCTTTTTTTTCGCAAGAGGTTGGTCAGGAGGGCGCAGCTGCAGGCGAAGGTTGCCGGGCATTCGATGGAGGTTGGTAGCTCACCTGGAGTCGGCCGGCAAGGCAGTAGTGACTGAGGTGGTGTCCTGCTATATTGTAGTAGTAGGTGCAACGAGGTTAGTTGTGAGGTGTTGGTTGATAGAAGTGGGTCACCCAGAGATGGGGTGCGCTATTCCATGTTACTGGACATAGAATGGTTCCGGTGGTGTCCATTCTTCGTCTGCGGGGAGGTCGCTTAAGATTTTGGGTCGAGGGAAGTTCTCCTTGTGGATGAAGCGTCGAACTCTTTGTTGGAGGGTCATTCTTTGGGATCTGTGGGGAGGGGTGGTGATGGTATAGTCGGTTGTGTTCACTGGTTGGGGGGGATTCTCTCTGTCAGGCAGAGTTCCTGCATGTCATATAGTTGTCTCTTAGTAAGTTTGTCTAATCGGACATTGATTGCGGGGATTCTCTGTTGTATGTGTAGGTCCTCTGATCTGATTCTGTCTCTGAGTCTGGTGTTCGTGATGAAGCGGAGGGCTTTGTTTTGGACTCTTTGGAGTTTTAGCATGTTGGTTTTGGTTGTGAGCGACATGGGTACACAGGGGTATTCCAGCAGAGGTCTGATCATCATCTTGTACAGGTGTAGTTTGATGTGGGGAGGAGTTGTTTTGAATCGATAAAGTTGGCCAAGGTGGGCTTTCGCTAGGTTTACTTTTTTGGTTATGTGGGTTGTAGAGTTGAGTAATCTGCCGATTCCGTATCCTAGAATCTCGTTTGGATTCCTAATAGCAATACGGGTACCTCTGGTGGAAATGCCCCCTTTGACTTCTATGGTTGATGGTAAGCACCCAATGGTGCTGATGAGGACTTTGTCGGGGTTGGTTGTGATTCTCCATTTCTTCTCCCATCTGGCAGTTCTATTTAGTTCTTCATTCATTTTCTCGATTGCTCTCCTATGCTTGTTTGCACCAGCTGTAGGGGTGGAGGAGACAACATGGATGACATCGTCTGCGAATTGGGTGATGATGGGGTCGGTATGTTCAGGTTGGGGCAGGTCGTTGACGTATATGTTGAAGAGGACGGGGCTGAGGCAGGAGCCTTGGGGTACTCCTGCTGTTGGTGTGAAGGGGTTGATTCTGCTCCGTGGAAGGTGGGGATGATTTTTCTTCCTGTTAAGAAGTTGTAGATGAGCCTGAGAAAGGTCCAGTTGGGGATCAGGGAGGTCTACGAGTTTTGTAAATGAGACCGTCGTGCCAAAGGCTGTCGAAGGCCTTGTGCACGTCCCTGGTGGCGATAAGGGCCAGGTTCCCTTGCTTCTTCAGGCTGGCCACGGCATCATAGATGATGTTTATGGCATGCTGAGTGCTGCGGCGGGACCTGAAGCCGAACTGCCTTTCAGAGAATAGGTGGTTGAACACCATGTAGTAGTTGAGTCTGTTGGAGATTATTCTTTCAAAGACTTCGCCTGTGACTTCGAGTAGGGAGATGGGTCTGTAGTTTTCGGGATTGCGGTTGTCTTTGTTTGGTTTGGCGATGAAGATCATCTTAGCTGTCTTGAAAGCCTCTGGGAAGTGACCAGATGCCAAGATGGCATTGTAGATATTCACCAGACATCTTGCAGTTGCGGGGGAGGTACTGTAGTTGTTTAGCTCTTATGCCTGATGGGCCAGGAGCTGTGTTTCTCAGTCGCCCTATGACTTGGGATACTTCTCTGAGCGTGATTGGTCTGGTGAGGGGATGTTCGTCTTCAAGGGTAGTTGTGTCAATTGATGGTATAGGATGAAAATCTTCTAGGTTCTTGTTCCGCCATTGGCTGACCCACTGGGAGTGGGTGTTGTTAAATCTTCTGCTGTCGTTATGTGAGAGAATGTTCTCCCATACTTCACCCATCAGCTTGGCTTGGTCCAGTGGGTCGTCAAGTAGGGTAGTCACTACCTCGCTGTCTTCGTCGGTGAAGGAGTGAATGAGGTGTTGAGTGGGAGTGTGGTTGGCCCCTAGTAGTCTGCGGATAGTGCTCCAGAATTGGTCTGGGTGGCGTTTGTACTGGTTAGCTTGGCGCACCAGATAATTCCAAAGATCTCTTTTATGTTGGGTTATTAGGGCGATTAGCTCTCTTCTCGATCTTAGTAGGGCTTCCCGGGAGGGTTGCCCTGTGAGGAAGTGTCTACTGCATTCTGATTGGTACCTGTTCATTCTGTCATTGATTTCCCTAGTTGGTTCGTATTGTTGGTAGGTCTTGGACGATGTTAGTGTGCAGCAAGCTTTTGTGGCCTCCTTGATTCTGGCGTGAAGGGAGTTAATTGCCCCGTCTATTGCATTGCAGGGCTGGTCTTCGAGAGAGATGGTTTGATCATTACCTAAGAAGGCTCTAAAGGGGTTGAAACCTAGCGTCTTCAGGTTGGGTTTGGGGGGGGTGTACAGAACGGAGTGGACTGTAGCTTGATTACCACGGGGATGTGATCTGATCCGACGTTGCCGTCTGGAGAGACTCTACAGTGGAACAAGTCGCAGTCTCTGTTGGTGAGGACTACGTCTGGGGTGCCTGGGTGGAGGCCCACGAACGACTTGAAGAATGGGCCTTGGAATGTGAGGTCTTTCGCGGCCATTATGTGTTTCCCCTTGTGGTCACCTTGGGGCAGGGCGGCTCCACAATTGAAGAGAGCAGGGTGGTGGGCATTGAAGTTCCCAGCTAGGACGGTGGGGATATTTCTATTGAGAAGTCGGTGTAAGGGAATGGATTTGATATACGGTTGTCTGGGAGGGGAGTACCCTGTGATTGCTAGGAGTCTCCCGTGTGATGTTGGCACTTCGACCGCTAGGACGTTGTCCTCGTCGACATGTATGTTGCGGAATTCATGCCCCTGCTTCACTAAGATGGCCACCCCACTGTTGGGTCCCCTGGATTTCTCGAGAGTTGAGTACCCACGTATCTTTATGTGCTGGTCAGGTCTGGCTGATGTTTTATTTAAGAGGATAATGTCTGGGTTGTGGTTGCAGAGTTCAAGTTCAAGGAGGTAACGGTTGTTGAAGAAGTGATGGATGTTGATTTGCAGAATTGTGATCCCCATTATTGTACATGTTTGACGGAGTTGCTGTGCACAGCGGATGGGTGTTTGGTAGCGCAGTCACGTGACGGTTGTGTGCGCTTTCTATTGGGAATGCGGGAGGGAGGGGGATTATAGTCTTGGGTGGATTTTTGTGTGGAGAATTGGTCGTCGTCTGTGCTGTTGGTGACGGTGATATCTGATGACGAGTCTGAATCGTCGTCTGACCTGAGGGGCGCATCAGGTTCGGAGTTGTTTTGGATGGTTGAGACGTCAGTCTCATCGGTTGTCGACGATGTCGACATTGGGGACATTGGAGGTTGAGTAAGCAAGGGTAAGTCTTGATATAAGTCTTGTTGCTCAGAGGGTATCTCACATGGGGTGGCGGTGGGACCAGGTTGGTCCATTAGGTCAGCCTCAGTGGCGGTTGGTTGTGCATCGGTTAGTGGTGCAGATGCAGGGGTTGTTGGTTCCTGCTGGTGGATGGTTGGTCGTGTGCGGGGATATGGGTTGAGGGGCTCATGTATGGGCGCACTGAGTCGGGGATGATTATGGCTGAAGTGCCATTTGCAATGAACAACTCACTGAGTATGGTGCAGCAGAGGTGGTCGTTGCCCTTGGACCATTCTTTGGCCAGCATGAAGTATGCAGTGCTCTTCATTATCCCTTCTTGGATGAGACCAGAGGGGATATATGTCGTGCCGAATAGGCAGAATTTGCGATCTTGGCTTAAATAGCAACGTTCATCTTGCCATATAGGACAAGTGAAAATTTGTGTATGGAATAATTTCGCTAAAATCATTCTGAACTAACGAAAAAAAATATATATTTCACTGTGTTTGTTTAGTATTAAATTACTGTAAACAAATCTAAAATATATTTAGTTGAGTTAGGCTAAAATAAATTACTCTTGTTATAATAAGGTTAGGTAAGTTTTCTAAGATTCTTTTGGTGCAAAATTAAAAAAAATTTCATTAACATTAATGGAAAAATATATCTTTAAACGTATAAGAGAAAATTTTAGAAAGGACTTAATTTTAAATGAGTTCTTGCTAATTGACCAGTTTTACATATTCGGCACGACATATATATATATATATATATATATATATATATATATATATATATATATATATATATATATATATATATATATATATATATATATATATATATATATATATATATATATATATAATATATTACACACACACACACGCACACTTATGCTTAACAATTCGCAAACGAGCGAACTTTTAGCAAACATTATCTCTCAGTCAACAGCAGGATTCGAACCTGCACACACTGCATCAAACTACACAGTACTTTCTCCACTCAGCCAAATCCCAGATCTGGAAGAGAGAGAGAGAGAGAGAGAGAGAGAGAGAGAGAGAGAGAGAGAGAGAGAGAGAGAGTAATGATCACATGAGAACAAGAACAACATCATCAATCCTCAGGGATACTAAATCGCACCACTTATGAGAGTGTAAATGTCTCTTGGTCTCTAACGACCTCTTTTTATGGCCTAAATGTACATGATTTCTCTCGCTCTTGTATCCGTCCACGTGGCTCTCTCTCTCTACACATCTTACTATCTGTAAAGTCAGAGTTACGTAGTAATTCAAGGATAAGGAGTAAATCAGAAACACGTAATAAGTCAGAGACACAAAATAAATCAGAGACACAAAGTAAATTAGAGACAAGAAGTAAATCAGAGACAAGAAGTAAATCAGAGACAAGAAGTAAATCAGAGACAAGAAGTAAATCAGAGACAAGAAGTAAATCAGAGATATGAAGTAAATCAGAGATATGAAGTAAATCAGAGACACAAAGTAAATCAGAGACAAGAAGTAAATCAGAGACATAAAGTAAATCAGAGACGTAAAGTAAATCAGAGACACGAAGTAAATCAGAGACACGAAGTAAATCAGAGACACGAAGTAAATCAGAGACACAAAGTAAATCAGAGACACAAAGTAAATCAGAGACACATGTCAGAATTATATAGACAGGGGAAACTTTTATTAGAGAAAAATTGCTTGACACTGCTG